TGTAGGTAAATGCTAGTGTTAATAAATGAAAGATCAAATTCACAAATCATAAAAAGGATACAATAGTAACACATACTATATTATTTGGGTATTGTTAGAGAGACTAAATTTATAGAGAAAATTTGTAAACTAAATAATGTGTCATTAATAAGAATAAGCATATTTATCAACACTTAAGTAATAAATTAATCATCGACTTTCATATTATTTAATTTTCAAAATTTTGTCTATAAATTTACCCTCCTTAACATTACTCTATTATTTTACGTATTATTAGAAAGACGCGCAAGGCCTAAAGACCTTTTTATTTCATGGGTCAAAATTATATAGAAAAGGACAGAGAAAATGGTTTTTGTCATAAAAACGTGTGGAACATTCAACACACAAATAAAAAGAAGTCTGCATGCTTTGTTATTGGGTCAGTTCACAAATGTGTACTTTGACTAAAATAAAACCGAGTTCTTCTTTGTGTCTTTTGGACTAATAATTTTTAACTTAACCAAATTGCTCATGTGACCTTGTTTGTAGTTATTAGGATTTAGAATGTCCATTTTTTGTTGTCATTTTTATAGGAGACCACCACTTTCAGTGGAACCTTCGACGTGAGCGTTAGGGTTTGGAAAATATTCCCTAAATGAGGACCAAGAATATACATTAAAACAGCAAAAATTGAAATCGGACCCAAAAAAGTATGCAAAGGCCAAAGTTTGGAGAAAAAAAAATTGAAGAGACATACATGCCGACTTGATAACATTTAGCTATTGGCAAGAAGAATCACAATCACAATCACAATCACAATCACAATCATAGTAATTGTGTGAACACATACATTGCCCAAAGAAGGAAAATACCATGTTCCCCTTGTGCTCTTAACATTTGTAAGAAAAGCAATACTTTGAATAAAGGGGTTTTTAAGGGGTAAATATAAAAAGTATTGCTATTCTTTGTTGTAATAAAATAGTAATGTTATGAAATTATTCAACATCATAATTTATTTTTGAACTTCTTGCATTATGTTTTATTGTTTTACAATAATGACGTTAACATTTAACGTCTAAATTATCAGATGTAAGGTTACAATCGTCAAGTTTACAATTCAAGACTTCAGAATATGTTAGGTTTATAGTTGATAACACACAATGACGTTATTATTGTAACAAGGTTGGTGTTTACATGGTAAATAACCTATTACACTATCAAGGTAGGTTGTTATGAGTGTACATGATCATATCACAAAATCATCGTTTAAACCTACAAACAAAACTGACATATTGTTGACATACCTCTAATAAATAGCATTCCCTTGAGTCCAATTAGAATTATTGAAAGTGTTTTTCTACTTTTTTTTACTTTTAGTTTTGTTGTCATAGCATTCAGAAAAACATTGAAAACTGCTTTGTTCTTGACTGCAAATTAAGGACAGCTTCAATAACCAGAAACTTATACGTGTTTTCTGATCGAGCTTACTCACGGCAGAAACTCACGACAGAGCTCAATGAATCCAATTCAGAAAGCAAATTGTATGCCGTAATGATGACAGTGTAGCTCTAGCTAGATCCTGCACCGACTAAATATCTTTCTGCTGAAAAATTGGATGCAAAGTTTAAGAACACAATGAATCTTTGCCGACAAAAGACATGGATGCCACAAAATTCTTCGGCATGTGCAAAAAGAACTTGGATTATTGGTAAACACCAACATTTCTCATCAATAACAACAGAAAAATGGACAGTTCAAACAATTGTGGCATAATTTCTAATTAACTCCTTTATAATTCTGTGAGCTAGGAGTGACGGTTTTTCAATTTTTTATTTTTTTTGTTTATTTAGACGAATTAAACACATGCATAAAATAAACACGACTGCATAAAATAAACACGACTGAATAATTGAGTCGTATTTCTTTTACTTTTTGACCATTAGTTGTACTTTCAAAGCTAAACTAAATTATCAATCAAAAAATTCGAAGACAACAAACGGATCCTTGCAGAAAGTAAAATCTGACAGCAACCTAAAACCACCAAGTTACAGAAAGCTATCGCTCACACCTTGATACTACTGACCAAGTTTCAACTTGATTCTTTTGCGCTGATCTGTCAATAAGACTAAAGAAAGCTGTAACAGTGAACTCATTACCATTCAATCTGCCGTCAATCTTCATGAGGAATGATAAGCAAATCTTATTTAGATTTTCTCATTTTACTTTCTCAACTCTTTTTCTTATCTTACAATATTGCACAATAATTTAACCGGTTTATTTTTTAGGTCAATCTTTAAAGACTATTACTTTATCCGAAATTGTTTTATCATCTAACAATTATCCAATAAATAAACGAATCATATTTCTTACTTTTACACTAAAGTTGTAACAAAATTAATCAAATAGGTTTTAACGACTTTCTGATTTTGCTGGGTTTTTGTAGAATCGAACTTTAAGGGTGATGTAGAAAGTCAACAGTTAAGGTTATTAAGCAACATGACAGAATAAAGAGAAGAGTCAAGAAGGTAAGGCGTTATTGCATCCCATCTTGTTTCTCTTAATTTCTTTTTAAAAAGGAAAAACAACTACAAAACAAAGGAGAAAAGAGTTAAGGAAATTAACCTAGTTAATTTGGCTACTTTGGACTAATAGTACGATGACAAATAAGCTATCGTGTAAACAGCTTAATTAAAATGTCCTAGTCGAAACAGATAGATATATGTCTTAATAGATCCAAAATAGAAGATAAGCTTAATGAGGGGTCATGAGTCCTATCACCAGAATCCAAACATACGTTCACATTCAGGCTGGTGTACCCAACAAACTAATTAAGGATCCAAATCCTATGAGTCTGCAAGATTTGATTAGGATCTAATTTTATGTGTTAGCATTGATTGGTCAAAGAATTAGGGATGTTATCTAGATAAACTTCTTAAAGTTTCAGTTCAAACAAATTAATTAAACCCTCTTATGTTTGCTTTGAACTAAGAAAAAGCACTTTGAAGAGAAGCATCTTAAAATTCCTTTTTTGACTTTGGCTTCTCCCTAAAAGCCATTTTTGATGCCGCTTTGTTGCTTATTGTCTACTTCACCGAAAGCCATTTTCCCATTTGGTTGGTAGTGTGGGAAGAGACAGAGAATAGGGTGAAATATTGTGTTAGTGAGGGATTAATTAGATTAGTGTTCACATATATGGAGAAAATTTTTGGTCTGCTGAAAATACGGTTTGATACACCAAGTATCATAATATAAGTAATTGTAAAATTTTTTTCAAGTATTCAACCACATGTATTATAACACTTGCTTGGTGTATCGGCCTATATTCCTATTACACTGAAAATATCTCCACACATAACATGCAAAGTGCTACAGGGGAAATTAACTTACACGTGTCAGCAGTCCATGTATATAATATTTTAAGTTATCTGAATGTTTTCCACGTCAGAAAATGGGAGTCATTTGCTTGGTCGGGTTTGACAGACTGATTAGATGATTTGGACAATGTTCAACAACAAGGATGATAACAAATTTAGCAAGAGATGTAAGAAATGAGATACCGATTCCATTTCTTATGGTGCGGCGAAAACGATACAAGAATTTATTTATTTTATGTTAATGTTTGTACATCTTTGAAAATCATATCAAATCTATGATTTGTCAAAACTACGATCTTTAAGTTTTATAAAGACTCTTTGCGAAGAAAAAGGTTGCAAGACATTTTTCAACAATCTTGCCATTTCTGAATCTTCAAAGTGGAAAGTAGAAAGATATGTAAAAATACTAGTGCGGTTAAAAGCGTAGTTAGAATAGAGTTTTGCCAGCCAAAACATCTTCGATTATCCTCCATTGCTTTTAAGCAGCCTATAGTTCTACTGCGACACTTGTCCGATTAAAAGTTTAGGCCCGAAGCATTTTAGAAACGGAAGTCATGATGCATACCTTATTGTTCAAAGGAATAAATGATGACTTTTTAAGGTGTTAGTCACAATCCCTTCGTATCAAAAAAGAAAGAAGAATAAATAACAATTCAACTCCCAATAACTACAAGTCTCTTACTATGGGAAATGGATCATCTCCGGATCCTTTCCTCCTAATTCACCAAATTCAGGGATTTGGATCATTGAAATTTGATCCAACAGTTAAAGTTATTATAACTTTTAAAGTGGACTCATGTCTGTAGTCGTTGGATCAAATTTCAACGGTCTGAATCCCGAACTTGGTGGATATGAGGAAGACATTCGAAGAAAATCTCTTTCCCTTACTCTGTATATGCCTAGAGCCTAGAGCCTAGAGGCCTAATTTAGGTTTGGAAGAATATATATATACTCGTTTAATTGTTTAATATATAATAGGATTTTTAGTTAAAATAATCATTGAAATTGACACAACTCACCACTTTGGTTTATGACAAAATAATCATTAAAAAGATAGTCACATGATCATACACATGACAATTTGACGAGAATATTAATGAATTTTTCATAAAATGATCAAAATAATTTACGGTAAACAAATTTAAAGACCACTTACTGATTTTCCTTATGACTAACCAAAGTATGGAACTATATCAATCTCAAAAACCATTTTAACTAAAAAACTTGTAAAATATTTAATCGCTTCAATATATCGACAATCATTTCATTTTTAATTTATATATATATTGTATATAATATAATAAGAACAGAGAAAATATATGAAAGAGATGGCCATAGAAGAGTGAAGAATGACTGAGAAATCTAAAAATTATGAAGAAAGATAATTACACAAAACGGAAGGTAAAAATCAAAACCTATCTCAAGTTGCTTTTACTTTCTTAATTCTGTTCTTATTAATGCTTCTTCCTGCGTTCGCTTATACCCACATCTAAAACACTCAAAAGTAAAAACCCGAATAACTAAAAACTAAATAATTATCTACCCTAAACAAAATCCCCACAAGGCCGGCCAAGAAACAAACATAAACCAATCAAGACCAATCCACCAAAATGCAAACGACGATAACCTTCTTCAAACACAGATCAATTGAGCAATCGAAATCAAGAAATACCAGACATCCAATTCTGTAATTGTAACTCTCCTTCAACAGCAATAATAAGTTCCACCATAAAGTTCTGAGCAGAAACCACAGCGGATAGAAAGTATTTAAAAAGCTACAAATAAGAAAGTCTACAAGAAACTACAAAAGTAGCATCACGATTTGAGTCCGCGGTAGTTTTCAAGGGAACAACATAAGTCAAGTTTCAGGATCATTCCTCCTCAGCTTGTGGAGAACGGCTGCGGTTAACAAAAGAAAAGTGTTAAACAAAAGAAGCTCAGAGTAGATAATTAACAAGGTTAATAATCCAGCAAGGTTAGTGGGATTGAAACTCAAACCTGCTATATCTCTCATTCATGGGGCTTTCAGGCCCTCCATAGTTGGGGCTGTCCCTAGCTTCAGGCGGAGAATTTGGGCTTGCAACGCGACCATTTTCCGGACTGGTCCTCTCCCTTTCATAAGGACTTCCACTGGGGCCACGACCATTTTCAGGACTGGCCCTCTCTCTCTTATATGGACTACTGCTTGGGAGACGGCCAATTTCAGGACCATCCCTCTCTCTCTTATATGGACCACGTCTGGGATCATTTTCAGGACTACCCCTCTCTCTCTTATATGGGCTCCGACTGGGACCATGGCCATTGTCTACCTCAAGCTTCTCTCTTCCATAAGGACTACGGCTACGGCTACGATCACGAACACGGTCAGTACTCACCCTCTCTTTTCTAGGACTACGACTAGAGACGCGGCCATGATCAGACCTGTCCCTCCTATATGGACTTGGGCTGCGCCTGCGGCCATAGTCAGGACTTACTCTCTCCCTTCTATAAGGACTTGTTACACGTCCATAATCAGGACTGCCCCTCTCTCTCCTGGTAGGGGCCGGGGCTAGGGCCACGACCATAATCAGGGCTACCTCTCTCTCTTTTGTAGGGACTTGGGGACCTTCTTCTATCACGGCCTCTGTCTGGAGACCTATCACGACTTCTCTGGTCAGGGCTAAATCCATCACTTCTTTCATCATCATCACGAACTGCATATTCCACTGATATAACTCGATCCATCAACTTGCTGCAAAAATACACATTATCAGCCAAAATTGAACTTTAAATCAACATGACCCATTACCTAAGAAAAAACAGAGAGAGTGAGAGAGAACGGGATATCCACCTCATGTTTGTAGCTTCCAATGCCCTGGTAGCATCCTCTTGCGACTCATATTGAACAAATGCAAAATTTCTTCTGATCCTTACATTGACGATTTTCCCATATGAATCAAAATGCCTCTCCAAATCCTTGGTCCTTGTGTGATATGGATCAAAATTTATGACGAACAAGGTCTTTGAAGGTCTTGTATTAGTCGAAGATCTTCTTGATGCACCAGGTCTTCTAGTACCACGTTCTTGCTACAATACAAAACATAAGAGTGCTAAGACCACGACACACTTGAAAAAACAACAAACAGTGACAAAACTAAATAGTGATAAAAATGGCCTACATTTGCTACCTTTGTCCATTCGACACGTAGCCTGCGTCCTTTTCGACCAAATTCTTTTCGGTCAAGTCCCCGAATGGCATATTCAGCATCTCTCTCATCCTCCATATAGATGAAAGCAAACCCTGTAAAAAAGTAAAGTACAACATTATGCATTGACAACAAATCCCACGTATTTTTGCCAAGCAAAGGTAAGATTTCCCCCATACAAGGATTCTTCAATAAGAGACGGCATTGCTCCTTTCGACAATATACAAACCACCTAGATTCTATCCTAATTAAACAGTGAGGCAACCTCCGGGAAATCTATAAACTAAGTGACCAATAAAATTAGTAACAGACCTTGCATTATGAACTAAGTGATGTCAAGGGACAAGAATCCAAAAGTGGATGTCTCATGGTGGGTCAATGTAAAGAAAGTGCCTTCTCCATCTAATCGGCTGCCCCTTCCATGGGATTGGCAGTGTTTCAATTGTGATTGATGGCTGGGCGAAGGTCGTGAGGAATGAAAGGCAATTGTGACTGGAAAACGTGGGATGGCGGTAGTGCAATCGCAGATCAGAGTAACTCTTCTTGAAAACAAGAAGAGGGAGCTCATCACAAGCAAGAAACGGAATTCTGAAGAGCCCATCCACTAGCCTGGAGGATTATGGATATCCCAAGATAATCCTGCGTCAAAGAAAATGTTGAATATGGGGGTTTATGCGTCAAAAAATACATGCTTTTTCTTAAACGTATCCGGAACCCCCACAAGAACTCAACAAGGAAGACTGCTGCCACTGAGAAATCCAGACCGGATGATTCTTCGACCGGACTGCTGATGAAACAGCGTACCGCAGGTGCCATGGTTACAGATGCAGACATGCCGTAGTTGAGTTGCCTTTTGAGCAGTAAGACCCAGTTTTGCTTCTCGTAGAGGGCTAAATGATTGTTACTAAAAGTTTATTCCACTGCAGGTTACATGCATGCACAATTTCAATCCAGTGTTTTCTTGTCTTCCAACAGAACCCTCACCCAGACAATAATTTGAACAAAGTAACAAATTATAGTGATGTTCATCCCTCAAACCTCAAAAAATCAAATCAGTATACCAAGAACCTCAATGCATGATAAATCTAGACAAAGTTGCTTTTAAGTACCCAACTCAAAACTGGGTGAAATAGGAATGCAAGATTCAGAATCTAGAACATGTTTACAATCATTCGTGTCAAGTCCGGAAATAAAGAGATTTAAAATTTTGAAGATGTCGTATTAGAATTCACCCTTTAATTTTGATCCCAAAAGAATTGGAAATTATTTATTTACCAAAGTTACTAAAATCACTTTCACACCTCAAATCTTACCACACATCCAAGCTGTAAAAGTGCAGTAAAATTTTGAAGCACAAATATATGGTTCGCCCGTGTGAGTTTAGAAGTCAGTCCTCATTTCGGGTTTCAATTCCCTAGTTCAAATAAAATAACATTATTCATAACTCTTTCAGGATCAAAACTAGATGATGAAATCCCATATAAAATCTGAGTTGACTATCCAGCTTCATGGTGCTTTGCCATGTGAAGTTGAGGATGCTTTGAATATTTTTGAGGAGAACAGATGCATCATTTGTGGGAGAGAGTTAAATGTTGGTACCACAAGTGAAATAAGCACAATACAGAGACGAAGAGAACTAAAAAGTGTACTCACCAGACTTCATATCGACCCTATCAACTTTCCCATATCTACCAAACAGCCGCTCCAGTTCATTCTGTCGAGCATCATATTCAAAATTCCCACAAAAAATCGGCCTCATTTCCTGGCACAAATGGGAATAATCTGTCAGCAATTATGAAAGTAATCTTTCACACTTCATATTGCACGTGAGCAGCAAAAGACCATTCTATCATAGAGTATGCATATGATAACAAACATGAAGAAAACCCAACACTAAATTATTTGATAAACAAAGGGCACATAATTTCAGAGAACACCACCTGACGCCAAACATTCTTTCAATTGCGAAAAAGAACACGGTGTTTAAATGTAAGATATAATAACCATGTTACGTTCACAAAGCACGGGTCTTTTCTTATACAAGAACCGCTAATTCACAATTACATTAACCAAGTTCCGAATCACAAGAAATATCATAAATACTGAAAAAAAAAAAAAAAAAAAAAGCAATGCCTACAAACAAATTCACTGTGTAACTTCAGGTGTGCATAACCTAATTTAGCTAAAGAAAATTTAAATCCAGCTAAGAATTACACTAAAACAATATATTGGTCTCAAATTAAACAAAGAAAAGAATATAAGAACACACAAATCCAAATTAATAACAAAAAAAAATTCCCCAATTTTATAATTAGCCCCAAAAATCTAACAAATTCAAATAAATTAAGCAAAGAAACCAGAAACAAACACCAACAGTCAGATCTACCACTACAGAAAGCCTACATGTCAGATCTCCATTTATTTCCCGAGAAACGGCACGAAAGATACCAAATTGAGCTAGAAACGCATAACATAACCAGATCACGAAAGAATTTGGTTTCTTTTCAAACTTTCTCGGAAACCAAACGGAAAATTGAGATTATTCGAATGAAGCTTCAGGTTTCAGAGAGTTTCGTACCTTCTCTTTGGAAGCAACAGAGCTTAAAACTGTAACCCTAGCGAGCGAGCGAGCGATGGATGTGAAGGAGGTAGGTGATACTTTCTTCGATTTGACCTTAACGAATTCTCACGTGATTGGAATAAATAAGTAGTAGAGGAAAAAGAGAACGACGTTTTTGGATATTTGTAGAAAAGGGCCCTGTACTTTTTGTTATTTGTAAACTTGGCCCTTTCTGATGACATGGACATGGAGGCATGGTCTTGGAGGACTTTAGAAAAATAAAATTAATATCAGGGGCAAATTGGATATTTAACCCTGTTCCTTTTTTGTGCTCTTATTTTTCACTTTCGGGCTTCTGGGCTTCAGTTGATTAAGCTCCTGGACCTGATTTCATTGGGTCGAAATTAGAGAATTTCAATTTCAATTTGATCCTAATCATGATTTTGGTCCGCAGAGTTATACGATAGTTCATGTAATTTCAATTGTCGTAATTTAACTCATGTAATTTAAATTGTCACGAGTAGTATACGTGAGGATAAATTGAAGTATCTTGCGTGCTAATTAAATTGTAACAATTAGTAAACTATAAAGTCGAATTGTAACAATTGATAATACATTAACCAATTATGATTTTAGTCTTTGTGTGTCTACCTCATGATTGAGGTTCAAATCTTTTAACAGTAGCCAATTTTAAAATCATACACGTAATGTTGCTTCGGAGTAATGTTTATGTCCCCCATTCAACCAATTTTGTATCTTCCGCCATCTAAATTAGAGTAATTGGAGTATCGTCTTGTAAAAAGATAGGTAATGTTTTCGAGGCAGTGTATTTGGTTATTCATGAATACGAACTAATCTTACAACATCCAGTACACAAAATGGAAAACGATACAATGCAATTTGTAGCTAATTTGCATTGGATTGAATCGACAAATCAAATGAATATCAATATTTTGGTAACCTTTATTTCCTTTTGCATACAATAAAGAATCAAATAAACCAAGTAGCTTTGGAGGAAGAACCAAATAGGGTTGCCTCAACTTCGGTTTGGTCCGGAAAGAAACTTAAGTCGGACTGAACTTCTTGCGTTTGATGCACTTGATGTTCTTGTCCTCCTCCTCCTCCGCCGCCAGAGTTGATGAAGGCAATCTCAGCTCGTGTTTTCGCTAATTGACATTCTGCGTTGTGAATTTCATGATGCAATTGGGAAATAGTCTTAACACAGCCGTACACTAAGTCTTGTATTCTACATTCGGCTTCATAGCACAAAGTATCTGCTGCTTCAGCTCTCAGATGGTCTGGTAGTTGCTGAGGAATCATAAGAGGAAAAATTAAAGTTAATCACCTCGCTAATATAAGATAAATTTCTCTTAAGTTCATAATTAAGAATCGACTGTTATTCAAACTTTCTCAAAAACAAGTCCAAGCGGGAAAATTTATGTTGCCACGCGCATGAATCCCTTATAACAACAATAAAGAAATAAATCTATTATGTGTATGTATGCAAAAATATAATTGAATTGATTATGTTTCTAGAGTAGTAGGATTATGTACCTGGAGCATTTTGGCAACGTTGCTGGCACCATAGATCCTATGAACAGAAGCAAATCTTTGAGGATTATTTGGAGGAAAATATGGAGAGAAAACGCAATCGGAAGGACATCTTCTTCTCAGATACTTGCAAGCTGCACAACGACCAGAAATCATGAATCAAAATCTAGAGGAGGATCGAAATCTCAACCTAATAGATTCTTTTTTCAATCTTTCAGAAGAGGAAAATCTTAGAAAATATTTGTTGTGAGTTAATTTTTTAAAAGGCAAAGATGTAAGCACGCTATTTGTATTGAAAGAAATTTGTATAGCTTTGGAAAGTTTTTTCCAACGGCTACTTTTTTATTGGCAAATTGAGAAAATTTGATGAGGATGGCAATCCTAGATTTTTAATTAGCATTTGGTTTCTCTTTTTAGATTTGTTTTGCCGATCACAACATTTTCCATTCGAAAACTTTGTATTTTCATTGGACCAAGACTGCCATTTTTTATTTTAGGAAGCTAACCATGCAAGAGTTGACCAAATTTTATTCAAACTTTTAGACCATAATTTTTGGCATAAGTTTGATGCGATTCGGCTAATATGGGCCTTACTCAATTTTGTTTGCTATACATGCAAGCCTTGCCATCATAGCCACACTTGAGTTTTTTTTTTCTTGTGAAATAGAGTAAACATTTCAAATGTCTTAACAAGGAAAGCATACTAGGTCTTTATTTTATTTGCAAAATACAACTTAGCTAGACAGCCAAAGTTCACCTTAGCTAGATGCCAAAGGTTCAACTTCATAACCAAAGTTCAATTTATTCAGCAAACTATTATAACTATTACACCGAAGCAAGCCAGCTCTATAATCTAAATCCAATCAAAATAAGTAAACAAATTTCTCCAGGACTGGATTTGGATTATTCTTGCTCGCTGTTAACTCCCTTTAATACAAACTACAAACCATCACCTAATAAGGCATTCAGGAAATCATCGTCACAATCCTGCATAAAAAAAACAAGTAAAAGAACCAAGATGTTGATTAGCAAAACTTATCAGAGATACCATGTCAAAATCGTATAAGTGATAGCTATAAATTGAATTCTTGACTTGCCGGAAAAGGGAGTGCTGTCTGAAATAACATGTTGTAGTCCTCTGATTCAAAGACATTGCCGCTGAATTCAGGGTTGAGGACTTGTTGATCACCTCCCTGCTGCTGCACACAACCACAATATAATTAGTATCGTGATGGAATCCTTTGTGTGTTCGTGCGCGTGTGTGTATGTGCTTAAAATATGAAATGAACATGCATGCCTGGCTCCAAGATTGTTCATTAGGTCCGTTTTCTTCAACATGGTATGGGCCAGAAGATTTAGGGTTTGAAACCTATAAGTAGTATATATCGTGATCGAGTAAATATGCGTGTGCACAAGAGAGTATGTGATAAACTATGAAATGAAGTAGGCATGCCTGGCTCCAAGATTGTTCATTAGGTGCATTTTCTTCGACACAGTATGTGCCAGAAGAGTTAGGTTTTGGGACCTGGTCAGGAGAAGGGTCGGAAACTTTGTTCACAGCAGTGTCCAGACCTTGGTCCGCAACAGCAGGGTTCATTTGATTCGGAGTAGCGTCCGGCACTTCAACTGGATATAAGAAACTAGAGAAGTCAGGAGGAAGTTGATCTTGATCTCCACCTTGTTGCTGCAAACATTAAAGCAGACAATTTGTTGAGAAAACAGTAGAAAAGAAAAGAAAGATCATTAAGGTTTAGGATTTTATATGTACCTGAGAAGAAGGAGGAGGCTGATAGTTGTTCTGCTGGTCCACGAAAAGATTACTAATCATCAAATCATCAAGAGCTTTGTCCATTTCTTGTCCTGGAGACAAATTATTCTTGTTGACCAATGTAGGAGTAGTAGTGCTATTATCATCGGTATTCTCTGCTGGCGGTGGCAACACTGAAACATTTTGTTGCTGATCTTCTCTGTTGTTACTGAAATCTTTTCGAAACTGATATGCACTAGAAGTAGTAGTGCTAGTCCCAATCCCAGCAGAAGGCGACAACGATGAAGAACCTCCTAAGGTAGCCATTGGTGGAGTAGTACCACTCAGACTCACGTTTTGAACCCTATTGGTCAAGCCATTGATAGTCTCATTGTTGAAGTTAAACCCATTTGATGAAAATCCACCAGTCCCATTGAAATTATTGAGTATTCCCAGTAGCTCAGATCTGCCATTAGGGCTCATCATTTGGGTTCCTGAAAAATTACCAATCAGCTGCTGATTAGTAACATTGTTCTGAATTCCAGGTGTGCCAAACTTGTAGCTGAATGGGTTGTTATTGGTGAAAATGCCATGCTGCCTTGCTTGTTGGAAAATTTGGATCAAATTATTTGTAATAATATTATTGGTGGTAAGTCCAGTTGTATTGGCAGCATTAGAAGACATGCCTCCACTTGATCCAAAATTGTTCATCAGTTGTTGCATTCCAATAACCCCTGGGCGGCGACTTGCTTGAGAAATCAGCTGATGATTCACATTTCCAAGCCATGGTTGATGGCGGAGAAGATTAGCTTGAGTGATATGGTTCAGCAGACGGGACTGCCCCGAACCGATAAGTTGAGGCATGGATCTCATGGTGTTGCTGCTGCATGAAGATTGCTGATAATTAGGGTATTGGATCGAGCCAAGGAGATTAGTGGTATTTCCATCAATCCCAGCTGAGGATAGTTGAAATGCAGAGGCAATATTGATTGGAGATGCTCCCATTTGCTGTTGTAATTTCAGGTACTGTGAATATTGGTCTCCTGCTTCCATACTATTGAAGACCGGTCCTGGATGGGCAAATGCAAAGCTTGACCTGAACACCCTCTCAGACAAGCACTTGGAAAGTCTAGCTTTCTCAGCAACTCGTTTCAAGAACATACGATACTTCTGCAAATTCACATAAATATGCACACACCGTCATTAACAATTTGGTCATTAAGCATAATCTTTCTAGCTCATATACATATCCATACAAATGTTTTGTGATAAATATTGGAATACTTGTTACCGTGCAACAAATTCGTACTTCTCTTTGCTACTAGGGTTTGGTCATTGGGTACCGAAAATAGCAAACAGCCGGGTATCTTAAAACTTATTGAGTATTCCTTCGTGAGCCAAATAAATTGTACTAGTTCTACTAAGTACCCGACCATTGCAAAATATGAGATTATCACTTGCTATTTTGGGTACCTAATGGCCATGAGGAAGGTGTCGTATTAGTTAGACCAAGAAAAAAATGATTTAATACTATACGTACCATGACATTAGTAATTCTAATATGTAAACTTCTAGACAAATACATGGTTACTATGCAAAACTCTCTTTTGTGTTATTTTGCAAGAATTGACTGAAGGAAAATTTGTGAAAAACATGTTCATTTAAGCAACATCAATAGCATGCAATTAACAATTAAAGGCGGAATCATGCTTGTATGCACTTAAAACAAAACATTTACCCATGAAATTCAAAGCCTAGTAGATAGGTGAATCAAGACTCAACTCAAAACAAAATGAGTTGAGAAATCAATACCTTTGTAGATTCCTCTTTGCATAAGCAAAGGCTAATCACCCAAAGAGAGGGCCTTCATTCCTTGCATCTTGGATCCATGGATTTGGATGGATGATAAGGTTTCTCCAAGTTCCCAAAATTGAGAACCTCTAAGTTTCCACACCAAGGTATATTGTAGAAGAAATGAGTGACCTAGAGGAAGTAAGATTGCTAGCTATTCCCCTCTAGATTGGCCAAAATTTTAGAGAGAAAGGAGAGCTTGTGTTCTCATCCTTTTCCCCAAAAATAACCCTTAGTAAATTTTAGGCTATAAAGTCCTTTATATAGTCCCTTCAAAATAAGTGACCTAATGGACCAAAAGCCCTATTCTTTTACACATGGCTAGCCTATAGGTTTATTGGGCTTTCAAGCCCTTTGTTTTATTCAAGTTGTCATACAACTTGAGTTAATGGGCTTGACATTCAAATCCCATTGGGCCTTGCGGCCCAAAACTAACCCGAGGTCTTTAACGAACTTATTCGTTTGATTAATTAACATATTAATTAATCCTTGCCATAAATAATTAAACCATTTAATTATTCTTACTCATCTCCGTTGAATCTTCAAACTCTACCTTACACGGTGTACGATCCATTAGGTTCCTTTTAGCGAGGCAGTGGGCGATTCAAACTCTTTCAAATCGATTGTGAATTGAAACTTACTTTCAATTCTCCCGTTAGTGATAATACACTTTTAGGGCTTCCACAAACCATGAGTGACACCTAGCAGCATATCATGGTTACCCAAGCTAATCAGAAGAGGTGGAGAACCTATTCAGTTTAGGATTACAAATGCAATACGGTCTTTCTCTAATACAATACTCTTGACCACATTGTTTGGTTTGATAGTTTATTCATGTCTACTATTCAATGTGAATCTTTGTACTTATATGATTACCTTGAATATGATCTGGAACGCATTCCAACATCTCATTCATACTCTGGCCAGAGATTCTAAATCATATCATAGAGTATTCTCCCTCAAACAGTTTGAAGGTTAGAGATCCCTTGTTGCGCATTCACTTGCCTCCATGGCTAAGTGGCTTAACCCCAACGATGCCGTGGACACCCTGATAGAGTGACGTTGACATAATCAAAGATTAAGGACCTAACCACAAGACAACTGTGATGCCTCAGGTCAAAAGACTAATTTGCATTATCCCAACCATGAGTTCTCATGTGACATGAATATGAGAACTCTTCGTTGATCGTGTTCAGTGAACTCATTCTCTATTGAGCACCTACGTACTTGTCTTGATGTCACACACACCAATGACTCGAGACTAGTCACTCTCCCTGAGAGAAGACATAGCACGTACTGATCTTAACGGACTGTCAATGCCCAATTGACAATCCTATGATCAGGAACGTTTAGGATGTGTCAACGAAAGAATGGTCTCATGAATCTAACTTCTTTAGATCGCATTCTTCCAATCACATATTCCTTGGACTTATCGTTTAAGCATATAACATTTATATGAGACGGCTCAAACAATAATGTTTGCCCTTTAAACTACATTAGTTTGAAATGTCCGTAAAGTATCATCATATGATTGGTTTTAGGGCACATTTCCAACAATCTCCCACTTGCACTAGAGCCAATCAGCTTAGTCATCATTGATGATACCTCTTCTGTAATTCATTTCATAAATGGCTGAGTAGTAGGCCTAGACAATGGATATCTATATGTTATCCATAGAAGCAACTTTGAGAATAACGACGTCACCATTATACATGATTCTCAATCATGTGGTTCAGTCTCTCATTTGAGTTCGGACCTTGATGAGACCTTGATTCCCTGGCTTGAGCTATCGCCCCATTAGTGTCATACACTTTCTGGTTGGAACCGAATGAAGAGTTCATGAATGAACTTTCCCATCCAAACAACAATGTTGTAAGCTTCTATATGGCAATATATTTTGCATACATGATGGAACACATTAAAGTCATTTACTTTTAACGTTTCCACCCAAATATCTCTTTAGTCATAATGAAGAGATATTCTATGATGGATTAGATTCATAATCTAATACATTTACGCTTCCATTACGTTACTCTAATTCTTCCTCATTCTTAAGGAATCCATCCTTAGTATTTTTTAAATACCTAAGGATTCACTTGACAGTTGCCATGGTTCTGATCCTGGGCTTGCATTGATATCATCTTGTACCGTTCTAGGTACGACTTATATCAATGTTTTCATACAATATGAAATACATAAATCACCTTTCTGCGTATGCATAAAGGATTCTATTTACGCATTATTTCTTTGGGAGTCAAAGGGTACATTCCCTTTGAGAAGAACAACTTCCTAGTCTCACTAGAATTGTCATTCTAATTGAAGTTTATCATCATATGAGAAACTTCCTAGCATCTCTTGTCTATTTTAGGGATTGATATAATCCAATTATATCTTGAAATCTATCATTATAGATTTCCATCCCATGTATATAGACTATGTCTCCCATATACATTCTATCATTATAGAATGTTTAAAGTCATAACTTTAACGATGAAGAATTCCTTTCCTTTTCAAAATTAATATATATCATGTATATATATTCAATTTAGGAATATAATCAACTCCCACTAATCTTTTGTAAACCTAGTAAACAAAAGATTCATTTACATCTTTATGAGAAATCAAACAATTGATCTTTTCTCATAAGACGTTTATGGCTCCCACTAGCTTGCTAAGATCCATGATGGATGGATCTCTACAACTAACATGTCTTAGAAGTATATATCATATATATATGGGTAATTGATAATGTCCAACGAACTAAATCTTATTTATGTTCATTCTTCTCCTAATGGAGAAATTCATTATCTTATGATGCTACTTTCCTTGATATTTTTCAAGGAAATTAATCTAAAGTGTTACTTTTTCCTTGGATCAAATCTAAGGAGGTAAATATTTTAGACGTCTTACTCATCTACTTACATTTCTTGAATTCTTTGAAACCTTTTGCAAAGTATTCGGACTTATGTTTATTCAAAATAAACTATAGTCCAACCGAGAGTGATCTTCGGTGAATGTCATACAACATGAGTAGTATTATGTTGTGGACAAGTGCCACTAATATCTAAGTGAATTAACCTCAACAACTTTGTGATTCTTTCTTCTTTCCAAAAGAATAAAGATTCGAACATTTCGCCTCTATACAATTTTAACAAGAAGGTATTGGATCCGGATCTAACGATCCAAAGCATCCATCTATGACCAACTCGTAACTTATGTTTTAGAGGTATCACAACTCAGTTGGGATTAGTCACTACCTTGCAACCTTTTGGGTTTTAAGCATCGTTATATTCTTAAACAGTTAACACTACCACATCATCTCTACTATAGAGACAACCAATTAAATTACAATAATCTAATTTATTGATTAATAAAGAACAATGTTTTTGTCAAACAAAACATTTATCCATCTCTACTATAGTGACGGATTTAAGTTCCTTAAAATTGGAATGTAAAGACAATCTTTAGTATTTTCCAATTTCTTTGGTAGTTCATGTGAGGAAGTAAGTACAATCCGCTTTCGCAGAGATCTATATTCGATTCACGTTTGGAATGTGAAGTACTTTCTCTTCTCTCATTAATCTTCTACTTCTTATTAGCACACTTTTACAACAATTGTAAAACATAGTTACTAATACGGAATCAAGCATTCAAGTAGAAGAACCAACTGTTTTGAACTATTTCAAGAACATATTACAACACCTTCGAAAGGTGTGTTCTTGACACTTGCAAGACATTTCTTGCAAATACCCCTTCCAATGTCCATCCTTTCATAAAGAAAGTTTGTTCCCTTGGAGTTATTTTGCCTTCTTCATTTGACTTCCCTTTTGACTACAATAGTCATGGTCCCTAAACTCCCACTATCTCTCTTGAAACTTGTTTCAAATGTGTTATACACATCAAACGATTTGGAGAGCGTGCGGTTATTGTTCACTATATAGTTTACAATAAACTTAGTGAACTATTAGGATAGGGACACAAAGGTGAAGTCCTTGCCTAGTTTCCGTCTCGTTAAGTGGTTTAACACTTCAACACTCAATGATTCAAAATCATCATAAGTCCATATAAATGGACTATTTTTGTCAACCAACCATTATGTTCTAAACATAATAACAAACTCTCAAGAGTTGTTCAAGGCAACTCTCATTTCTTCATACAACAATTTGTAAGTGAAGAATCATGGCACATAAAGTGTCCATGCCCTTGTGCTTACTTCTCAAGTTCCTTGTTCGTGTAACAAAGAGACAAGCACTAAAGTTTGTGTTGATTAAGGTTTGTTCAAAGCAACTCTTATTTCTTCATACAACAATTTGTATTTGAAGAATTATGACATTAAAAGTGTTCTCCTTCTCATGTTAGACTTATCTAACATATTCTTCCAATGATACATTATCAATAGGAAGATTGTAAGGATGAGACTACTTAATTACATCTACAAGCCATTAAAGACAATCTATGGGATTGTAGAACTAAGTCCGGAAATTAAAGCGTTTGGTTTTTCTTTGTCAAGTTTTGGATAGCGTTTGCAAATATATTGGTAAACAAATACATAACGAATATAAATTGATTGATTTTAAGCCATTTGATTTGGGTCTTTAAATCAAATAGCACCACCCACTATTTTTGGCAAATTCCATATCCCTCATCGGAATTCGAGAGTTTTGGAGGAAACTCTTAGTAGGGTATGGGAGGCTCACTATTACCAAGCCCACCTCACGATGATACGATATCGGCTAGCATTAATAATAATGAGAGAGTACGCTTACTCATTTGCATCTCATGCAAGTACCCATCTTATTTGGCCTCTAGAGAATGTTGCCTCACAATGATATGATATCGGCGCCATTGCACTTAGTTAAGTTATTCCCACCATGCTTAGTTCATGAAGGGGTTCAAGAATAGCCTCACAATGATATGATATTGGCCATCCTCGTTGCCTACACTCACCTCATCATATGCGTATAGACTCCTCCTGAGTGTAAGCATGCACTTTGTACTCCCCCATGATAGGGTGAAGCCGGTGTACAAGTCACAAACGATTGGAGCCTACCACGGTGGAAGGCCACGAAGAGATATTCAAAGCACCTCTCGCTTATCAACTTAATATTGGTTTGTTGAGGGTTTTAGGTCTCATCACATATAAACATACATTTTAATCCAATTAAAACATTTTGGTCCTATTACAACTATTGGTCCATTTGATTGATTTAGTTGTATATAATACTCCCACTAAGCTTTTAAAACGGTTTTTAAAGCAAGAGTATATGATACTACTAACATAAGGTTTGCATTCATTGATGGACTATATAGTTGCCTTAGGGCCTTAGGATGACTATGAACCTTTGATTCGATTCAAACACGAGCCTAGTGTTGAATCTCGGTCTAGGGATGGTGATTGATTTTAGTTACGCGTTTAATCACATTAAGGCGTGTTGTCTTATTGGGCGTTGGACCCAACTACTCCAATTTCATGCATATCGAATAAAACAAGAAAGGAGTACTTCAAAGTAAATAAGAGCTTATGCTCTTTTACAACAATTGATCAAATCAAATTACTTTAAAGTAAAGAAGAGCTTATGCTCTTTTACAACAATTGATCATATCAAATTACAACCAAAATTTAATCTACACATTCCCATGGTTCAAACAAATTTGAAACGGCCTTTCACATAGCTCAATTATCGTAGGCTAAGGTTCATAATCACCATTTCTTTAATTAATTAACGCTTTAACTATTAAACTTGAATGCAACATTTTCATTTGGTTTTTGTATCCATAGAATTGATTTAAATGGAGCTAAATGAAATGAAAATCCAATTCTCATTTAAAGAGACAAAACAATTTTGTTCTCTACCTAATTTGGGCCAAAATGCTATGACCTCAACTTGTTTGGGCCATAGTGCAATTAACCTCAACTTTTGGGCTATTTTGCAAAAACTTAAACTTTTGGGGTCACTTTGTAAAAACACAAAAGTCCACTACTTCATGTAATTACAACTAGAACCCAAAATTTTCCACAAAAAAATAAAACTTCATTAAAGGAGCAAAACAATTTGTCCTTTTAGTGATTTTGGACCTTTACGTAAAAACGTAAACTTTTGGGTCAAAATGCAAATACACAAAAGTATCAAAACTTTATATAATTGCACAAAAGCCCCACAAGGACCCTAATTGAGTAGGGTGGCTGATTTTGAAGCAAAGTAATAAAAAAAAAATTTCAAAGTTTTTGTAAGTGGGGTGTGTGTAATGGAATAAATCATTACACACCAAACCCACTATAATTTCTTTAATTTTTCAAAATAAATATCTAATATATTTAAACATAAGAAATATTTCAAAACAAAAACTTTATGAAATAAATCAAAACTTTGAATCAAAACACCAAACCTTTTGTTCTTGGCAAGAACATATCAAGAACAATGAAGAACATTCATGAAAACCCATAAGAGCTCCATGAACATTCTTCACCCAAAAACATACCAAAACCACTCAAACTTAAGGGAAATAACATACAACCATACTAGGGTACATAGGGGTTCCAAAAGTCACTTTAAAACAATTTTAACAAGTCAAACAAGAACCCAAAATTCCACCCTTTGGATTTGGCCGAATTTCCCCAAAAACATGGCACCAAATTTTAGCTCCAAAATTCATGCTCATATGAACTACATCTACAACATTTGAGATGGCAAATTTTCTAACAAAATTTACATTCAAAGAAGCAAGAATAAAGCTTGTAACAATTACAACATTCAAATCACAAACTATGAACTACAAAACCCAAAAGGATTCACCAACTACTAGACTTAGGCTCTTGATACCACTTGAAGGAAAATTTGTGAAAAACATGTTCATTTAAGCAACATCAATAGCATGCAATTAACAATTAAAGGCGGAATCATGCTTGTATGCACTTAAAACAAAACATTTACCCATGAAATTCAAAGCCTAGTAGATAGGTGAATCAAGACTCAACTCAAAACAAAATGAGTTGAGAAATCAATACCTTTGTAGATTCCTCTTTGCATAAGCAAAGGCTAATCACCCAAAGAGAGGGCCTTCATTCCTTGCATCTTGGATCCATGGATTTGGATGGATGATAAGGTTTCTCCAAGTTCCCAAAATTGAGAACCTCTAAGTTTCCACACCAAGGTATATTGTAGAAGAAATGAGTGACCTAGAGGAAGTAAGATTGCTAGCTATTCCCCTCTAGATTGGCCAAAATTTTAGAGAGAAAGGAGAGCTTGTGTTCTCATCCTTTTCCCCAAAAATAACCCTTAGTAAATTTTAGGCTATAAAGTCCTTTATATAGTCCCTTCAAAATAAGTGACCTAATGGACCAAAAGCCCTATTCTTTTACACATGGCTAGCCTATAGGTTTATTGGGCTTTCAAGCCCTTTGTTTTATTCAAGTTGTCATACAACTTGAGTTAATGGGCTTGACATTCAAATCCCATTGGGCCTTGCGGCCCAAAACTAACCCGAGGTCTTTAACGAACTTATTCGTTTGATTAATTAACATATTAATTAATCCTTGCCATAAATAATTAAACCATTTAATTATTCTTACTCATCTCCGTTGAATCTTCAAACTCTACCTTACACGGTGTACGATCCATTAGGTTCCTTTTAGCGAGGCAGTGGGCGATTCAAACTCTTTCAAATCGATTGTGAATTGAAACTTACTTTCAATTCTCCCGTTAGTGATAATACACTTTTAGGGCTTCCACAAACCATGAGTGACACCTAGCAGCATATCATGGTTACCCAAGCTAATCAGAAGAGGTGGAGAACCTATTCAGTTTAGGATTACAAATGCAATACGGTCTTTCTCTAATACAATACTCTTGACCACATTGTTTGGTTTGATAGTTTATTCATGTCTACTATTCAATGTGAATCTTTGTACTTATATGATTACCTTGAATATGATCTGGAACGCATTCCAACATCTCATTCATACTCTGGCCAGAGATTCTAAATCATATCATAGAGTATTCTCCCTCAAACAGTTTGAAGGTTAGAGATCCCTTGTTGCGCATTCACTTGCCTCCATGGCTAAGTGGCTTAACCCCAACGATGCCGTGGACACCCTGATAGAGTGACGTTGACATAATCAAAGATTAAGGACCTAACCACAAGACAACTGTGATGCCTCAGGTCAAAAGACTAATTTGCATTATCCCAACCATGAGTTCTCATGTGACATGAATATGAGAACTCTTCGTTGATCGTGTTCAGTGAACTCATTCTCTATTGAGCACCTACGTACTTGTCTTGATGTCACACACACCAATGACTCGAGACTAGTCACTCTCCCTGAGAGAAGACATAGCACGTACTGATCTTAACGGACTGTCAATGCCCAATTGACAATCCTATGATCAGGAACGTTTAGGATGTGTCAACGAAAGAATGGTCTCATGAATCTAACTTCTTTAGATCGCATTCTTCCAATCACATATTCCTTGGACTTATCGTTTAAGCATATAACATTTATATGAGACGGCTCAAACAATAATGTTTGCCCTTTAAACTACATTAGTTTGAAATGTCCGTAAAGTATCATCATATGATTGGTTTTAGGGCACATTTCCAACATTGACATCTTCACACATACACACACATAAGTTCTCTTTCTTTCATTAATATTTCTGTTATGACTGAGAGAAACGAAAACCAAACATTAATGAGTTAATTAGGCCAGTTGATCATAATAGTATGTGCGCCTCTTTGTACTCGAATTTAAACATCCCTTCCTGTAGGTTACACTAGCTTAGAATATATATATATATATATATAACAAGAAAATGGCATAAAAATAGATGAAAATGACCTGCAAATGACTAGCTACATTTTCCCTGGTCAAGCCTGGCACATTCATGAACTCGAGAATCCTCTTTGGCACTGCCTCTGCATGAAACCAATTACATTAGTCAGTACAACGCAAGTATGTATTTAAACACAAAAATTAAAATTAGGAAAGAAAAAATGAGAATTGGCAGTAGAAAATATCACATACTGTCCAAACCGATGTGTCTAATGGCCAATAGAAACTGATTGTGAAGTGAATTTGTCCACACCACTTTTGGCTTCTTTGGTGCAACCATGCGTTCCTCATTATCGCCTTCCCTATTTCTCTTTTTTGCCTTCTTCGCCTTTGCCTCGGCCTTTTTCTCAAGTTGTTCCTCATCAGTATCCGAAGACATCCCAGAGTTAATTCCATTGTCCACCTCACCAGGTGCTTCTCTTGGAGCACCTTCTATTTCCTCTATGACAACAGATTTACCTTTCTTAGCTGCCTCAGCATACTGCCATACATTTTTAATGTCATCTTTGCTCACAGGCTTTACCATATAATCAGCAAATCCGCCCTCTAAACTCTTTAGTATCACATTCTCGTTGTCATCTGCGGACATCACTGCATTAAGAAATGAATTAAACAAAATGAGTTGGACATGTATTGACTAAAACTAAAGTATACTTAAGAGATTAATTTTTTCACTTAAAAATGACACTCACTAATAACAGGTAGCTTAAACTCATCACGAACATGCTTGTGTAATTCAAACCCATCCATCTGAGGCATATGGAGGTCCGTAACAACAAGATCAAATGCGCCTTTTTGTGCTCGAAGAATAGCCAAAGCATCCATAGGATTCTTAACAGCGACAACTGAAATCAAGTGTGGCAAGAAAAAAAAAATATTAGTGTTGAAGTAAGTGTGTGTGTGTGTGTGTGTGTGTGTGTGTGTGTGTGTGTTTGTGTGTGTTGGATCAATGAAATCTTGCAAAATTGTTCAACGAAGTAGTAAAGCGATCTAATTGAGAATGGGTCTTAGAACCCTCATAAGCAAGCATGCATGTGATTTACCTTAAAATCTTATATATACGCAACTAAGGAATGGATCTCGTAAGGGGATTTTTTTTCTTTCTTATTATAAAAAACAAAATAGTTTTTTTTATATACCCTGATTGGAAGTAACGAAGTCAACAATTTTTTTTTTTTTTTTGTCAAACGATAGATTTTATTAGATTAGATGTTATATTAGCTACCGAAATGATTTGAACTCACGCCGTCATGCAAGAGTTCAACACCTTTCCACCACTATGGTAAAGAGTCACTTGCAGGAAGCCAACAATTGACCACCCCTTCTTTTGAACCAAAAAAAAAAAAAAAAAAAAAAAAAAAAAAAGCAACCATTTATTCTTTTTACTAACTTAAAAAGTTGCACAGCCAAAAATTCTAATTGCAAAACAAATATATATAGGTTTTTATGATAATTCTTACAAAAAATTAAATCGGCAGAAAGCCTGAAACTAAAAAAATTAAAAAATTCTCTTACATCCTTTGATTGAAAATGATAAAATAAAAAATAAAAAATAAAAAAAACCGCATGCAGCCAAAAATCTGATCAAATTTATATTGTATAAGATGGGATCTAGCTAGGTCTAGTGTCTATAGAAAAAAGGTTGGGTCAGAAAATAATTTTTCCGTAATTTTTCTGAGAAATATGTCAAAAGGCATGCAAAGGTCTTAGACAAAAGAGTGAACCATTTGAAGATTTTTTTTGTCAAACATATGAAAACGAGTTAGCCATTTGAAGACCTAGGTAACTTATGAAACTAAACAAAATAAACATGATATGACAAAACAAAAGAATTAACCAATTATTTTAAGAAATATTTAAATCAAAATGTCATTTTATTGAATTAAGAATAATCTAGATGAAATTTTCAAATATAAAATATATAATATACAAAAGGCGCCAATTCATGACAAAAATTCCAAATTCCACTCTTGTTGTGTACATAGGTGGCCAATCAAAATGGAATTTGTCTTTGAATTAAGCAACAAATATTAATTCTTAGAAATTATTGTCATACTCTTAAATCTAAACACAATATCTAAAAGAATAGGCGCAAAATCATATTCAAAACATTTTTGTTTTGATTTTGGTTACATATTTGAAACAATTTTAAAGTAGTAGTAGTCTTCAATCTACATACCTTGATAGCTCCATGTTTTGAGCATTGCTGAAACAATAGCTAGAGTGGTGGCATCGTCGTCCACAACCAAGATATTGATCATACCAACGAAAGAGGGTTTGGAAATGGAAGAAGATTGCCTAAACTCAGCACTATCTGTAGCATCCATTGCTTGGAATGAAACTTCTCTTGCACCAAACTATTCAGTAGTGAGGGGTTTATATAATGCAAGGGCTGGTTAAGTCAGCCGTGACATCAAATAAAGGCGCAACAAGTGTAAGAAAGCTGCTTAAGTTAAAGAGAGAGAGTGTTTACCTTTATCTAAATTACCTCTATATTTTTTTCAGACAAATGCATGCAGTTTACATTGTCAGTTACAAAAGATGTATATGCATCGCCCACTTTAACATTTCACACTAATTAATGGTAAAATCTAGTATGAAATAAAACATTTATATTATTTTACCAAACATATGAGATTCTTACATAGAGTTCTTTGTGAAGAAGATTTCACAATCTTTCAATTTAATTGCCTTCCATGAAAAATATTTTCCCAAATTTGGAGTACCATTCCAATTTTTCAACCTGAATGCATATCATTTTATTTGCAATTCAAAATTTGAAATTTGGTTCATTTTTTTCAGGGAGTGTTGTTCAGTTAATTTAAGACAATTCATACATTTATGCAGTTAGCATTTTTGTTAGTTCAATTTATATAATTTTGAATTATCCATTTCATAGTCAGCCAAGTTACTTCTCACATCTTGAATTAAGGTGTTATTAGTGTTATTTAGTTAAACATCTTCAAAAAAATTATGAATGAATACATGTAGTAGTTATATATATATTAACGTGGAAAGAATGGTAAACATTAGGAGTTTGTATTGAACAAAGAATGGTAAAAAAAATTAGGAGTTTGTATTGAACATCTACTAGTTCTAGCTTGATTAAGTGATGTATTATCCATTGTATATATAAAGAAATAATAAAATCTCTTGAAATTAACAGTTTAATTATTAACTGTCTAATGACCTAACGGGGTTAATGACTTTACGATTTCCACGTAGCTGCCTATAACGAATCAGGAAAAATCATTTGCACAAGGAAATAATAGAATATCTTGAAATTAACAGTTTTAACAGTCTAACGACCTAATGGTTAATAGCGTAATGGTTTATTCTTAGCTGCCTATAACAGTTCATGACCAATCATTTGCAATATATAGGCAAATTTGCTAGCGTCAATCACCACGTGCTAGTTGAAACCAAAATTTATTTTTTCGCCAAAGTATGTACTCTCTTATTTTTTTATTACAAGCGATAATAATATTTTAAGTTACATTATGGGGATAGATGGTTTTGAACCTAAACGCAACACGTTGAAAAGAAAGACCCTATTCATCAAGGTAATATATCAATTGTTTTACTAAACAAACTCATTTTGTCACATTTTTTTAACTAAACAAATTAACTACTAAATGCTATAATATTTACCTCTTTTTAACCAAAAAAACTCAAAACAAGAAAATCAAACGCAGAATATTATGGTTTTTTTTGTCCGTAAAATTCAGAAGATTATTAAGTAAAATTGTGAAAGACTAAAGGTGAGGCCCGTTATAGCAAAAGCATTGGTAGCAAGAAAAGTGGTCAAATTTCACTTCTTTCTGAGTTTCGTGTTTTAAATGTAAAAGCTGGTAAATTTGTTTGATATTATCTTGTTACACTTTACAGTCTCAACGTCTCAAACTTTTGATTTCAAATTGGAGGGAACCTGAGTATACCTCTGCCAATTGGTTGTCTATTAGGGCTGGCTTTGGCTCACAATAACTTACCATAAACTAAGGCTAATGTGTACATTAATATAAAATCTCGGAAATGAAACCAGGATAAGGTAACTGGATCGTGGTATTTGAAAACCATTGTCTTAGTTCAGTCCATTGTTTCTAACCAAGTGATATGACAATATTGCCTCTCTGTTTTACTTCAAATTACAATATTAGCATCAGTCATTTATTTACGTATATGTGGACATCTATATCAAAAGAGGATGTTCAAGCATTAAACAAAGGTGAAATGTTTTTAGTGGTTGAAATCCAACAGAAAGAAGGAACGAAATCCAGGGCCATTGATTGCATTCTTAAACTTTCACCACCTTTGGATTATGATTGGCTAAATTGTCATGGACTCATGGATATCGTTTAATGACATCCTTATCGCATAATCTATTAACCAATTGACACTTGTCAACTGTCTATTGGTTATAATTACCATCACTCAATTAGTTAATACTGTTAGAGAGTTAGTTACAAAGGGTATTATTGTAATAATCCATGTAATGTGGATACTATATAACACATTGTAAAGGCTTGTAATAATTCAAAGTGTGAAATATAAAGTGTTCTAAAATTCCTTCATCTCTAAGCTTCTATCTCTCTCTCTCTCTCTCTCTCTCTCTCTCTCTCTCTCTCTCTCTCTTTGTAACTCAATTTCTCAGTGTTATGATAATCAACCCTAATACAACCATTTGTCAGACAATACCAATGGCCAATCGCATGGTTTGCTCACAATATTGACGTTATTGCTGACACATACGTTTTAATAGAAGTGGGCCTTCTTATTAATTGTATGTAGGATCCACTTGTATTAAAGAGTGCGTCAGCAATAACGTCAATTCCAGAAGTCATCCCAAAAGTGAAGCCATATGTACCAAGTCGAATCACTCTTTCACACCCAGAGTAGGAAAGCCTTAAACAGGAAGGTTTAATTAGAGATGTAAAAGTTTCCTATAAATTACTTGGTGTTTTAATGCAGTTTTTGTTTATATCCTTAATTGTTGTATTAAGCTCCCCTGCCACCTCCAAAAAGCAACATAACATTCACCTTCAGCTTTAAGCAGTAAATAAATCAATCTTACTATTTTAATTTGTTTGAGGTGAATATGAATTGCAATAATACAAAAATAAATTATAAGCTTTTGTAGCAACAATCTTCAGTTCCCTTTCCTTATCAGTTTTTTAATTTTTTTTAAGAAGATACTTGATTTCTAATATTTAAGGATTGATTACTCCTTACAGATCAATCACATTTTGACACGTTTACAGAAGTTATGATGTAGGTGTAAGGAAGAATGAGTCCTTAAATAGAAAGGAGCCGAGCAGATTCCAAATCTATATACAAAACAAAGATCAAATTTTTTCTTTTTCAGCCATTTGGGATTTCAAATCAAAATGGACACTCTAACCCACCTTTTATGAACTGCTCATACAATGCCCACAGGAGGGCGGCAATAACAGTATCTCTAATCAAGTCCTGGACCAACTTCACAATCCAACCATTAGAAGAAGCATCAGTAGTACCTGTAGGCCTCTGTCCTACAAGGTCCCTAAACCTTAGGTCTCCCAGGTCAGCCAGTAAGGCATAAATCACACCATTCATGTGTCCCTTTCCAATAACCCCAACTACTCTCTTACTCTTATTCACAGCTTTGCTCCTCTTTAAAGACCATGCAAGGTACTGAAATATGCAACAACACAAAAACAAAAGTCACTTGTTAACTTTCATTCTGCATTGTATTATAGAATGTTCATAATCCGGGTTGAATTGAGATACTTACAGTGTCTCGCTCATGTATAAGAGGTTGTAGGAGTGAAGGATATGAAGAACTTAGCTGCTTATAAAGCTGAAATGTGCTATCACTTGTACTTGATTCCTACATTGTAATCAAATATACGTTTTGTTTGAATAATTAACATAATTAAGATCTAGTAAGTATTGAACAGTTGTATAGTTTATTTTTATGTTGTAATATTATCTTGTTAATCAAACTTTACCCTGTCTAATTCATCATTGAGATTCTTCTTCGACATATCGGACTGTGATGTTATCCCACGAACAACAGAGCTCACTAAGCTCAGTTTCTCACTCCAAGTCAGAGAATTCCAAGCCCTTTCAAGCTGCAAAAACAAATTATATACAATTTACCAAGATTTTGCATCATGAACCTTTCTACAATGCTGTTAATTGACTTACGGTCAAGTTTATCAATCACATATTAAAAACCATACTAATCACTTATCAATAATTGTAACTTTGTAAATACGCATGTAGTGTCAAGAATATCGATACCATCAACAACATGTCCGTATTAAAAAAATGCAGTTAACGGCGTAGTAGAAAAACTTATATATATAGTCCTGTATTACAGTAGGGTTTCGATTTGCGCATACGGTAATTTCAATTGGACGATCCCCCAACACAATTTGAGCACCAACTTCTTCAGAGGCTTTTCGAGCAGATCGAAACTGCAGTCCATTAAAGGTCACATGGATATGGTCACACACCTGATTTCATTTTCAAGCAGTACATTTTGTCATCAATAAAATTTAATTGTAGTCAACTACCTCATCACCGAAAGGACGATTGGTGTCGGATGAAATCTTTGATGAGAAAACAGCCAACAGTACTCGTAACGCTAGAGCAGTTTGACCCCCTATGACATAAAACTAAACCAATAATTTCATCTACACATAAAACTATTAATTGATACACAAGAAACTGGCTTTTTACCCAAGTTTATGCTTCGACCTACGGCCCCGAAAAACCCAGTTCCACTCAGAGAGAACATATTAGACCTTAATTGTTGGCCTCCTGCCTCACCATCCATGGAGGCATCAGCATACATAATCCCAGCTCTGAAATTGGGTTCTGCAACAATTTCAGTTAAGATGTGGAGTATGGATATATGGATGACTGAATGTACATAATCAAAATTATAGCAATATTTACTGAACTGTATGACTCGGGGCACATAATCTCGTATTCAAATTGAAGGAGTCAAATGTGACTCGGAATAATTTATGAACGTCACTACAATTATTCTACAAAATAACAATTGATTAATCTATGTACATATAGTTGAAAAATAAGGGATAATTGCAGCAACAATCCTTGAACGATACAACTCGAAGCACATAATCGAAACCAAAGCACTAAATGCGACTCAGGGTGTAGTTCATGAACATTGCTACAATTAACCTAAAAAATAACGATTGCTATTGTAACTATGTAACATTTTGAGATTAAATTCCAAGTCACACTTGCCTGCTTCTACATAGCTCCACCACCACATTATCCGGCTTCACTGCCCGGACCACGCGTTCGACCTCCACTGCAGAGTCTTGAGAAATATGATTGGTTCCGACCAACCAGATGGCCTCCGGCTCGACGAACTCTGCCCTCCATGCTGGGACGGGACCGAACTGGCTCTTCTCGATCAAGAACAAGCTCCCATTCTCAGCCAAATCAAGCAGTTCAGGGTGAGTTCTGGCTATTATGGCTCTTGAGTCCACCGAAATTTCTGACCTGAAATCAAAGTCCGGCGGTGGAGGTTTGATGGAAACCTTGGAGGGTCTGAGAGGCCTGGGGGTGAGGAAAACTGGGTTGGTGCGGAAAATTGGGAAGCTTGATGATTGAATGGTCTCCATGGATGAGATGAGAGAAGAGACCTGTGTTAGACGGAGAAACTGACTTTTAGATAAGGAAACTAAATTTTAACGGTCGGACAGAGAAAGAGGGAAGAGGTATGTAGTTTTTTTCTGTTTTTAATTGTTGATAGTGTAAATGTGGGTCTCTTGTGCCCATGAAAAATGGGATTTGGTGTTTTGTGGATTTAGAGATACATCTTAAGAAATTGGTTTGACAACCTAATAGGTTTTTCCTCTTTTCATTTGTTGTTTCTTGTCTTTTCTTACATAGAACTGAAATGTGATGACAAAAATAATTTAGGAGTCCGTAAATTAACAGGTAAGACAAGATTTTTTTTAGTGTACTAAAAACACGGTCTATTATATTAAATGTCATCACTTTCATTAACCCGTCTTAATTTGTGATTTGCTACCATGCACTTATTTGAGGTTGGGTATGTTATATGTGTTTAATTTGACCTTAGTAAAAGGTGATGATGAAATTTTTTAGCTCAATTGAATTATCTTTTATACAATAAGTTTTAAACATTGCTTAGTTACAATCATACGTACAAGACCTGACTCTTTCATTTTTCAATCGCATGGAGAAACACTAGATTTAGTCTAACAAGCAGCATCAAAAGAAAATCGAGTAAAATATAGAGGGATGCTAGGTACCTTTTCCTCTTGCATTTTCTACTTGTCTTTCCCACTCATCATTTCCACTATCAGATTAAACTACAAAGTTAATGCTTTAAAATCATAAATTATGTTCTTGAACTTTTACCCTTAATGAATTTGAGAATTGAAAACAAAACAGATTAATAAGGCCAGGCCACTCACCCATCAATGTCCCTCTCTCTCTCTCTCTCTGTCTCACTCACTCACTCTTCGACTTCCTCCCTCTAGGCAGCAAGCGACTAGCTAAGTTAAAGACGTCAATGGAGTTTTCTTTTCTGGAACAGATTACACGTATTCCACTTCAAAAAACATCTGAAATTTTGAGTCTTTCACTTATGAATTTTGTTACTGCTCATGGATATATAAAATGCTACAAGTTTTGGTGGTGGTGAAGTCATCCACCCGTTGCCCAGGTTTTCCCCTTCAGAACAAAAAAAATGAAAAAGAAATAGGAGGATGGGGGGAGAGTGATTGAGAGATGAGTGGATGGGTTGACAACTGCTCAACGGAATTGGCTACAAATTTTTTTATGACGAATTTTGGATTTTTCGTATCATGGTTTGTTTTCGTTAATGTGAATTCAAAACTAATCTGGTGAATCGAGCTTTTATATCATAATAAACTAGCAATAATGTAATTTAAAATTGCATTTTATTATGTCAAAGAAAATTCACCTTGAAGTCTTGGACACTCTATTCTCTTTTTTATGTTAAAAAGAAAGCTAGACAATTTTTAATGGTGCAGATGACATCCGTACAGTCAAGCAAAGCTAGGAGTGTGATGTAGATGCTGATAAAGTGATCAGCATGATGCAATTAAATTATATCACCCCCCTTGCCCCACAACACGTCTTACATTATAAGTATAATACTAATTAAATTTCAAAGGGAAGATCTTGATTAAATGACCAGGTCGACAACAGCTAATCTCTAGCTGCTATAGGAGACTGCTTCAGGGCTTAATACGTGTTCCCTCTGTAATTTTTTATTGTGATGGAAGTATAAATGACATATCATCTATTTTTATGTAAGTGGTGGAAATTTTATTTTTTAGATTATTAACTTTTTAACATACATATCTCATCATTTAGATAATGACAAATGATGTATCACCTCATGTACCTGTTATACTAAAAAATCTCTCTATTTCAACACCACCTCTCACTCATAAAGTGTTAATTCTTAAATCTTAATCATGATTAGTCCAATTTAGTCACACAAAAAGATTTAAAAAGCCAGCAAAAGCTCCGCGATTTTCCCACGCTTCTTACAAAAACAAAACAAACCCCCATTTTTCGCGTATAAATAGGATGATCATCTCACATATCCGTTACAATTCATTAATATTTATATCGTGGCACGCATTTGGTCATGAATTCACATATATATAAATACATACATGCACATAAAAATTGTATGTAGATTATACCTTATGGCCAATCCGTATAGCAACGTGCCCAAAACCCCTGTTGACCAACCAACTACAACCTCCAATCCCAATCCCTTTATACAAATTCCTCCGACTCCTCCTAGCCCTCCCACATCAACCCTACCTGACGATTCCTCCTCCTCCTCATCCCCGAGACTGGGCGTTCGGTCCCCATCGGGAGGCTCGACATCAGGCTCGCCGAGGGGGCATCCGGTCTACCGGGGAATCCGGTGTCGGAGCGGGAAATGGGTGTCCGAGATTCGGGAGCCACGTAAGACTACAAGGATATGGCTTGGCACTTACCCTAAGCCAGAGATGGCGGCGGCTGCGTACGACGTGGCGGCGATCGCGCTGAAAGGGCCAAATACTCCCTTGAACTTCCCCAACTCGATTCTTACGTACCCGATACCGGCTTCCTCCGCCGCGAGTGAAATACGATCTGCGGCCGCTAGGGCAGCACAGTCGAGGGCCAATATGTTAGTTCCCCGGGGGAGGGAGAGCGGAGGGAGATCAGAGCCGGGTGGTGTTGATAATGAGCGTGGGGTGGTGGGCCAGCAGGAGGAGGAGTTTATGGATGAGGAGGCGCTTTTGAATATGCCGAATCTGCTGGTGGACATGGCGGAGGGAATGCTGGTGAGTCCGCCGAGGATCTCTTCCGACAATTCGCCTGAAAATTCCAACGGAGAAAATCTTTGGAACTATTAATTAATTATTTAATCAGATTTTCGGTATCTGGGCTCACTATTTGTATCATCATTCGGACTCAGGAAATAATAAGCAAAATCAATGCTTGCATTGTAACGGATATCATCAGTGATTAAGGGTATGATTCACGAATCGCAATATATTAATTAATTACTTATTTTTGTGTGTTTTTGTTGGAATTATTTTTGTTTAGCTGCTTCATCACATGTACTGCTTTCTTTCGTTCTTGCAGCTGATTAGTATTATGTTAAAGCTTTTATAATTACTAGCTCTGGGAAATTAATGGTTATTAGGTGATGGATCTTTCTACTACTATCATATGATCACAACTAACTAGTTGCATTGCATATACTAGTTTGCTGTTTCTTTGAGTAGTGTACATGTTGATTGATGGCATGAAATGCTCCTGAATGCGCTACTTTCCTTTTTGGATTTGTGATTAGCACCTGAACGTTTAGGTCTTGGTTATAAGTCAAAGTTGCTAAACAACAGGCAAAATTTGTGCCCAAGATTTAGGGCATATCATATGATCATATAAATACACTATGCATTACCAAAATTACATAAACAATTCTCAATTACTATTTTTGGTGATTGGATTCATTAATGATAGGTTTAATTAGGAGATATAAAGAAGAGATGTTGAGAATTAATCTCACATTAATCAGAGAATAGACTTTGCATGAGCTAGCTTATAAGTAAATTAAGCGACTCTCTATATAGCCAATTGGTTTTAATTGTGGAACCCTAACTTTATCCAAGGGAGAGCTTAAAAATAAGAGAAGGAAGGGGAGTAGAATTAACTAGTCCGCTAGTTCATCTGATTTTTTGCTTTGTTTTTAGGTATGATCAAGGATTTTAATAGGAAACTAACAGTTTTCTGATTCCATGTTTATAACACATGAGAAAGTTAAGAGGTGAGGGCATGGACATGCTTACTTAATGGATATGGGAAAAGGAAGGAATTAGAGATTTAGAAATAGATGAAGTAAGGAAGGGGATCATAATTTTTAGATATTTTATTATGGATTTTTAAGGGTATACTCGCACTTTTTAATTTCATATTTGTCAGTAAACATGTAAAGAAGTTAAGAAGTGAAATTGTTGTCATATGCAAACATCAAAATGATTCCAATTCTAGTTCTTATCAAGTAAACATGTGCATACCATATTAGTAATTAGATAAATATTATAGAGACACTTGGTACCCGGAATTGTGGTTGAAAATTGGGTTTGGTTTTCAGATCAGCATCAGCAATATAAATGAGGAGAAGAGAAGTTATTATCCCTTGCGCGTATATGTACTACATAGTACTAGTCTTACGGATGTAGCTAGGTAGGTATTTGGTAGCAGACTTTAACATAAAACTTATTATTTACACTGACGGAGGTACAAGAAGAGGGATCAGGATCCTCTCCTGATCTAAAGATGATGATCCTTCTGATCAAGGAATATGGGCCGTTAGATGAAAATTCAACGGTTATAATTATTATAACTTTAAAGGAACCCCCTTGTTTATAACCGTTGGATTTTCATCCAACGGTCCACACTCTTTAGTCAGGAGGATCCTCATCCTTAGATCAGGAGAGGATAACTCTTTTTACTTTTCTTACATCATTTTTAATTTACGAATATCGAATCAAATGATTGAAAAAAATTAAAAAACACATTAATAAAAATGTGTGAAAAGTAAAAATAAATATACGTATAACACCATTCATATTATATGCTGCTGCAATTTGTGGCAGTGTAAACGCTCTATTTCTGGCGGACCTGTGAACTGACAATCAGCGTGGCCCTGTCCTTCTCTCCCCTGTGGAAAAGATTCTTACAGAGATATTATTTCTATAATTCTTGGAATCAAAACATCGTATCTGTCTAAAATGTATACATACACCAGCGCAAAAATACGCAAAAAAAGTAAAAATATCAGTTGTGTTGCCACCAGGTTAGAATGCATAGATTAAGTTGTACACTACAACCGGAACAAAACCCAGCAATTCTAGGCTTCTAGCCGTATGGATCGATTGTGTTGCCACTACTAGAAAATGGCTCTAAAGAGATGCGGATATAAAAGCAGTCTATAGCATGTTAGAGGGGACTAATCAATAGATTTCCATGCCCAACAATGTAAAGAACCGACATCCGTGGCATGCTTGGCTAGAACTGACATACAAAAATAAGGGTCTGTTCTGGATTTAGTTTTTAGTTCTCATTTGCAAGAGAAAAATATGTGGGAGAACGTATAAAAAAAAGATTCAAACTTTTACATTTCAAATGAAAGAGAGAAGTCATCAATAAGAAATGGCCATTTGCATGCCGAATCTGCCGAAATCTGCTGGTGGACAAGTAAGGATAAAAGTTTGGGAACGAAGTATGGATCTTATTGTGTTGAACTCTCACAAATTAGCTTGAAAGATAACAAAGTAACCACTAGCCTCTGCTATAGGAGAAAGATATATAATTAATATTAACCAAAAGATAAGAATGCATTTGATACAACCCAAGAAATATATAGCAATAATATTCCTTCCGGAGCAGAGTCCAGGCTCTCTCCGATGATCTTCTAATTATCGGACAAAAGATACGATCAGTTTCATGTATTACTTACAGGCCAGATATACATACATACATATATATGCATGTAAGTATAGAGAGAATCATTTTCTATTTACAGAAAGCTTACTGCGTTACCTCCAAATGTATCCACGCAGATTATTAATGATGCTTTCCTTTCCCTTAAACAATGAGACTCCTCTTCCATCTCTGACTTGATCTGTCTCTGAGCCTGGAGCTGCATCCTTTCTGGTTGTGATATAATTAAACCAAACCAATAAACATCTAGGAGCGCACGGTTTTAACCTCTTGCCCAACTTTATATATATATATGTATATGAAAAATACTAAGAATATTTTCTCAAAAATGGGACTCGTCATATGAACTCTCTGTCACCTCACAATTTAACGTCAGTTTTTATGTTAACATCATAAAACATTGTGCTAAAATATGAAATAACAGAGAATTCATGAAGAGTCTTATTTTTTAAAAAATATCATTAAAATTTCTCATATATATACCCATCTTAAACAAACGATGAGAGTTGGCTAACCAGTTATATTGTCCATATAACTCATATTTTATTAGGAACACTAGTTTCGGTGATCAGTGATCACACATGCGATGTTCCTATAATGCGCTACATGACCAAAATGCACTATTAATTAAGGGCCAATTTGCATCCTAATCCAGCATTTTAATTAGCGCAAATTTCACTCAAAACAGTGAAAAATGATGACACGTAACTTTTTCAGGCAGACAGAAGATTGTCTTTCTATTTCTCGACATAAAATGTCGATCAAATTAAAGTGTTAAAAAGTAAGGTATGAAAAAGTGGCGGTCTGAAAGGAGAGAGGAATTCTTGTAGGGTTCTCATTGTGAGTATTTCAAAAATCTTTCTATCACATTCATTTATTATATATTACACGGTTAAATTTTATTAAGTACAATTTATATTTAATTTTAAATAAAAAAATTTATAATAATTTATAATCACATGATATACGATAAACGAATATAATTAAAAAAATTTTAAAATCCTCACAATAATATCCAACAACCTCTAAGTTCAAAAGATGCTGTAGGTTAAAACTTAACGACACCCTGCCGAAAGCCGCTTTAAAAAGTTGCTAACGGTGTCGGATGGTATCGCATAGTGGACAGATGCAATTGATCTGGTCTGGAGGACGACTACTGTTCCTAAAGTGGCTATAAAAATTATATTAAAAAAAATATAATCAATATCAGTTTACTACCTTTCGTGATTTTCAATATTTAGTACATCAAATTTTTTCGTTCCAAAGTCATGCTTAAAGTGTAAATTTTGGGACACTCTTATATCTGTTAGTCAAACAGTTAATTCTTCCGTTAAATGATGACGTGTTGCCCATATAGATAATGACTGAATTCTACGTATCGGGTCCAAGTGGAATTTTATTTTTTTTATTTTATTTTTTCTTTCTTCTTCTTTCTTTCTTCTCTTTAGACCATCTCCAATGGTTGGGCTAAAAGTCAAATTTTTTAGCCCGAAAAATTTAGCTTTTAGCCCAAAAACAGCTTTTGTACTCCAATCATTCTACCCTAAAATTTTAGTCCGGGATTATTAAAGAATGAATTTAGGCTATTTTTTTTGTTAAATTAATTTTTTTAAAAAAAATAAATATGTAGACTATCGTAAATTAATTTTATGTACATTTTAATCTAAAAAAATTTAAATTCCGATAAATATTGGCTAGAGTCCACCCCGATTTCTGGGCTAAATTTCGGGGGGAATTTGGCATTGGTTTAGCATTTAGCATTTAGCTCAAAATTTCCCCTTGGGTTGGAGTGCGTTTGGGGGGAAATTTTGGGGGGTAATTTGGCTTTTAGCCCACCATTGGAGTTGGTCTTAGAGAAGGGGTTGGCGTATATTTTTATTTTTAATTTTTTTTATTTTCTTCTTCTTCCAGAGGAGTTACGTGAATATTAAAAAATTGCAAAAAATCTGGCGTTCACCCCCTTCTGACCCCCTTCCTCCTTCTCCCTCCCTTCTCTTTCCTACACCCATCCTCCCCGCACACCCACCCATTCCCCTCTTTCCCCCTCCCTTCTCTCCTCTGCAGTCCACACGGAGCTCTCCCACCCCTCCCTCCGATTCCTAACCCTAACCTCAAAATTCAGAAACCCAGAAAACGAAAATTCAGAAACCCAGAAAGCTCCGCCGCAACACTATCAATCAATTTCCAGTAAAAATCACAAAAAATACATACCATAAATGCCCACATTCAAATTCGTACCTCATTATCCAAATTTCAGATTTTTCAGGTGCAAAGCAGCTCAAAACTGCAGCAATCACAATGGTATACACACAAAATTACCAAATCGCCACTGACACTGGCTCCAATTTTCGATTACGAAACCCTAGATCTGCTTCTCTTCTTACAAAGAAACACCAAGTCAACAGAGAAAACGAGAAAAAGAGGGAGAGAGAGAGGTACCGTATGGAAACGAAGATGCGAAATTTGGAAGGAAGGAGGGGTGGGAGAGCTCCGTGTGGACTAGGTATCTTCCGGTCGAATCAAAATCAACCATGGCGGACAAGGCAGTCACCATCCGAACCAAGAAGTTCATGACCAACCGCCTTCTCTCTCACAAGCAATTCGTGAGCTCCTCCATAATTTCTTCCTTTTTGCATCTAGCATTTAATTGGGTTTTGGATCTATAACTTGTGTGTGCATTTGTTAGTGGGTTTGAGCTGTTTTATTTCTTTAATTTTGTTAATTTTCTTTGTAAAGTTGCATACTTTAATCTGGATATGTGATTTTTCTTATGAAGCTGTTATTCACCCAACTGGATTTTAATTTTAATTTGGCTACTATTATTTCTCTGTGATTTTTCTCTGTAAAATTGCATGCTTTGATCTGGATTGGAGAGAAGAGAGGGAGAAGGAGGAAGGGGGTCGGGAGGGAGGGGTTGAACGCCAGATTTTTTTTTTATTTTAATTTTTTAATATTTACGTGGGCTCTATAGATACGTGACGTCTAGTCATTGTTAAGCGTCATATCATCAGTTAACAGTTGATTTAACATTTAAACTAAATGATATATAAGACTGTCTCAAAATTAACATTTTAGGTATAATTCTAGAATAAAAAATTTTCATGTGCCAAATATTGAAAACCACGACACTTGAAAGTAGTAAATTGAGATTTACCTCAAAAAAATATATTGAGGGAAGATTTACACAGTTCGGATCTTATAGTTAGTAAAAAAATGTGTATTATTTGATAATTTTGCTAAAAACAATATTCTTGAAATTTGGGCTATTTTTTAAATTTTAAATTTAATTATTTAAAATATGTAGTAATTACTAATTCTTCAATAATATATTAAAAAATACGTATAAATAAGGTGAACTTTATTTGTATTATCCAAAAATATAACGTATATTAAACATGAAAAGCACGTATGTACATATATAATACGTGTGTGTACGTTGGAGAGTTAAAAACAGTGCAATTTAACAAATTATTAAATTATGTATGGAACACGGAAGTCTTCTAAAAATGAGAGATTATATTAACACACTCAAACTTCTTTCCTCACATTTTTTTTTTTTTTTTTTTATATTCTACACACGGATGAGGATCCTCTCCGGATCCTCACATCCTAACCGTTCATCGTACATCGTGCGGTCAGTTTTGATTAAGTACTAATTTAATTTTATATTTAAAATTCAAAATAATTTATAACCGCACGATATACGATAAACGGTTAAGATGTAAGAATCCATAAGATCTGCACAATTTGGATCCGGATGGGATCCAAATCCTCTACACACCACTTACGCTTGATAGAAAAATATTAAAAAAATTTAAAAGCGTGTGGGAAAGTAATTTGAGTGTATGGATATAATCTCTCTTAAAAAGTACATACTTACATGCTTAATATGCGTATTATATGCACTGTTCTAAAAATTCCCACCTAGCATTACCTAGGCGCTAGACAGTTGATTACTGTCCCGATTAAAGCCTAGGCGTTCGAAAGTTAAGAAAAAGCGCCTAGACCTATTGAGGCACCCACCTAGACCGCCTAGCCCGTCTAGACCTGCCTAAGTTGCGACTCACTTAGAAAATAGATAACTTTCATTTTACATTTTTATTTTTTCCAGTAAATTATAAGAGTCGTGCTGAATACTTAAATGAACACACATTATATGATTGTTCCCCATGTTTTCATTATGTTTAAATAGCTCATAATATATATGACATTCTATTTTGTAGGTTATGATGAAATTATATACATTTCTAAGTATAAACAAACACTTATTTACACAAAATATAATCGATTTAATTAAATTCGCCTAATCCGCCTAGGCGCCCGCCTAGACCCTGCCTAGCCAGCCGCCCGACTAACGCCTAGTGTCTTTTAGAACTTTTAAAATTGGCTCTTATTTGTAACCGTTTGATCAAATTTTAAGGACCCGAATTAGTTGACTATGTGGATTTAGAGGAAGGAATCCAGAAATGATTCCTTTCCTGAAAAAAGTACTACGAATCTTGGGGGATGAGACAACTGTTGCTAAAGCGGCTACAAAAGTAACAAGAAAATAAATAGAAGCTTACGAACCCTACCTCTCTTTCTAATTTTAGTCAAGAATAAAAGGAGCACTCAATCTCTCGAGTAGTCAAGTGAATGTATGGAGCCTCTCCATGTCGGCTGATTGGCTCAAGAAGTTCTGTACGTCCGCAATGTTAAAGTATTGACCTTGATAACTGTAAGAAGATACAAATGGCCCTATACTTTTAGTAGTATTCGAACTTTTTGCAAGTTGACATTGCTCAAGGCCACAACTCGAATCTACCTCAAGTGCTTGTTGAGCCATAGAGAACAATTTGAGCCCTCTTGAGGACAACTCGAATCTACCTCAAGTGCTTGTTGAGCCATAGAGACCAATTTGAGCCCTCTCTTGAGAACAATTTGACTCTATCTTGAATGTTTGTTAAGTTATCGCTCTTATCTTTAGTGTTATATTCATTTATTTTTTATTGTATTTACTAGGGGGTTTCTTTTTTATTTTTGAACAATATTTACTAGAGGGTTGGGCTCAAGTTGTTTTCTAGGGAGGGCAAAGAAACAAAAATTTTAACAAATAGCTTGGCTGAAATATTTTTGAGGCTTTAAAAGCATCTCTAATGCAAAGATTCAAATTCTAAACCTATTTTCTTATATTTTGAAGTTTGTAATTCTTTTGTCCAATGCAAGGACTTATATTCTTAGACATATATTATTGTATTTTGAAATTTCGGATTTGAATTTTT